TTTTTTGTCAACTTTTCAATCCAAAGAAAGGAGGTGGGTGCATGAGGTGACAGGACTTTAGGACCGACGGCTCAGGTCGGGATTCCTGCCGTCGTTCTTTTTGTTTGTTGTTCACAGTCAGCAGCATTGTCAAAGAGGGAGCTTGGTGTAAATGTGAAACTGCGTCTCCCGATGAGTGTGCAATCAGCATAAGTGTGCAACCAGCAGCAATGCCAAGAGMCTTACACCGATAGACCAACAGTGTCTACATAAAAAGATGTCACCAAGCAACTGACACATGCATGAGCCAGCGTAGAAGGATTATCCCAAAGAACAGGGAACAAGAGGTGAGTGGGCATGGAGGCAGGCGCCCGGGTCTAGCCAACCTTCGGCGGGCCGTAACTATACCCACTGCACGGGAAAGGGGTCCAACCCGTGCCCTTGCAGTGACCGCCATCACAATCACATCATGCAGTGAAGGAAAAAGTGTACATAACAGCTCTACACAACACATAGACAAGACGGAATGTACGTCACGAATGTCCATGTAAGGGGTGTACAGAAGAAATGAACATGGCCAGGCACTCACTTTTTTTGTGGAAGACAATCTATTCTTTCTCTTATCTCCTACATCTTTCTTTTTATGTTGTTCTCACCCCCTTCCTTAACGACTCTCCTGCCTCCTTCGCAGGAGCTGTATGCCTATTTGGTTGGTTTCATGGTGAACTCAGCTCCTCCATTGTTTCTTATGACAGATGTTGTTACAAAAGTTCTGCATGGTTGTTTGTCCTTTTTTGGTAAGCTTGGTATATATATATATATATATATATATATATATACACACACACACACACACACACACACACACACACACACAGAGCTGCCCCATATTCCTATTTATGTTTCTTTAGTATTTCAGTATTTTGAACAATTTTCACATCCTCTCTCACCTTTTGCCACTCCACAGCATATCGATCCACTCGAAAACTTGGACCCTCCGGTTGGCTGCAGGGTTGAACCAGATCACATGGCCACAGGAAGGCACGTGGCACACCAGGAATGAATCACACCCACAAGACAGCCACATGAATGTTATCAGCCTGCAATAAAAAGAGTGCAGCAACCAGACGCCCGGGCCAAAAAAAAAAAAAAAAAAAAAAAAAAAAGACAAAATAAAATAATCAAAATAACGAAAAACTACGCGGGAGTCACGAAAACGAGTTAGAGTTGCACTACGGGCCAAGATACAGTTTCAAACTGCAGTTAGGGAAATGTATACAGCCCATCTTTTTGGCCAGGTAGGGTGCCCAAAGTGAAATTGCAAACTGTATCTTGCCCCATTTTGCAATTATAACCCCTTTTTGTGACTCTACTGAAGTTAACCCCCCCCAAAAAAAATTAACTTATAAATTGCACCGACACCATCGAATCATGGCCTAATGATCCAACACCACTGAATCATGGGCCGATGATCCAATTTGAATGCCAACGAAAATGCTCACCGGGAAAAAAGTTAGCGAAATGTTTTTCGTTTGGGGAAATTACGCGGGAGTCGCAAACATGAGTTATAATTTTGCACTATGGGCCAGGATTCAGGCTGGGATTGCAGTTTGGGCAATGTATACAACCAGGGGTCAAGTCCCACTAGCCAAGAGTTACGCTTCGAGGCTGGGCTTTCAACGACGTGCGGCCCGGGGTGACTCGCGTGAGCCCCCGATTGCAGTGGAGATGGAGCGCCGTCGTGTTTTTGCCCAACCCGCCATTTCCGAAGTGGCCGACGTCCAGTACCATCTTTTAGAAATGTTTTGTTACTGTTTTAGTTGGCCACATTCGTTGGGCAGGAAGCTTCAATTTTATGTTTTTTTGACCCAGGCGGTGTTTTTGAAGCTTCCCGCCCAAGTTTTTTTCCTTGAAAGTCGAAGCCCGCGGTCGGGAACGTCCTCTTTCCGACGTCGTTTGTGTGCAGAGCCTGCCGGACACGCCCCCCTAAACGGTGTCAGGTCTGTCTCTTATACACATCTAGATGTGTATAAGAGACAGGACCGAGGGTTGGAGGCTTACCAATTCGCGGGTGCGTTG